TCTCACATATCAGTAGTGTGGATCAAACCAAACGTTTGATTTGTTTCTGTTAGTATCTGTGCTTTGTTTAACCACAGGATACTTTTTTTCCCAAATTTTACAGTCATCCTCCCAGACAATTACATTCTATATTATGTTATCTTTTACAGAGTATTGTATAGCTCATCTAAATGGGCTTGTGTAAAAATCTCAAATTTAATAAATAACATTTTCTAATTGATGTATAGCCAAGACGAGTTCGTTAGTGTTCTCCTTGGTAATTTCATCTTAAATTCCTGTTTAATTCCTGTTTAATTCCTGTTTAATTCCTCTTTAATTCCTCTTTAATTCCTCTTTAATTCCTCTTTAATTCCGTGTGTTATTGTCTAATGTCTCTTGACCCCACCTTAAAGAAACACCGGTTACTGCTAGTGTTAGTAATTTCACACAATGGGAGTCAAGAGGCTTATTTCATCAACCATCTAGTCTGTTAGCACTTGTTTTGGTCAACGGAACAACACAAGTGAAATATGATTCTTTGTTTCTGTTATCAGTGCTTGCTTTTACCTGAGGACCCCAGGCTATTATGTTCATTAATAGAGATTAGGCGGAATGACAGGCTGAGCGCGGCCCAGTTAGTGCGATTCTTTCAATTTTGCCTAGGTCTAACTTCCATATCAGTTCAGATCGCCTTTGTGTGTTGTGCACTTGTGCCGTTCTTTTATGATATTCAACGATCACTCTGTGGTCTATAGTTCATAATTCGTTCTTTATCTATCCGTCTGCCAATCAAATATTTTTGTAGTTTGTACAGTGTTGGTGGACAAGTTTTTAGCGTAGGTGTAAAATGATTTGAACGTTCAATATATCTGTTATTGCATCCGGATCACGTATACTTTCAACTTTTACTTTTATGACGAAGCCTCTTGTAGTGAAGGTTTGATCTCAGAGTCAACTAAACCATAAACAGTCTTCTAAGAATAATTAGTTAAAATATAGCTTCACTCATTTGTACTGGTTCCGGCTATCTCGTGTGTTTTAAGTTTCAAATCCCCGTGTTCTGTTCTCAGGAAGCTGCCGTTAAATATTTTGTCTCGGAATTTAATAAACTTCATCTTTCAGTCGTACAATCCACAATATATTTCGATAGTGATACTGACTCTGAGATATATGCTGAGAGCTCGCATTATTTCTTACTATCTAGTACCTGATTATATATTGATATTTACCTGGGATAGGACAGGCGTTTGTGATCACTGACACAATTTATATCGTGTAATATCATAACTTTAGAAATCCTTGTATATCCCCTTGCCTGTTCTTTGTCACAAATTTTAGGCAAACAACTGTTTAATCCAAATTTATTGTTTCGAATTCGAATTTGCCACTCTTGCAACTCCTGTAACTCATAAATTTAATGAGGGACACCTGCCAATTTATCAATATCGATAAAAAAATATAACATTTGTTTGCTCGCATTATTTCTTAAGTTCTTTATCTTACTATCTCATGCCTGATTATAGACTTTGCCACCTAATAGTCCTGTTTTTTACACCTGTTGTTTTTGTACGGCACCACCGTAAAGTTTTCCACCGTAGAGTCTTACGCCATAGATTCCCAGACCCACTTACATTCACCGTGTAGATCTCCTGTAAGACTAAGACTAAGAGTAAGAACATTTTAAACTCTGTTACCATTGAGACAGTTTCAAGTAGAACGAGTCACCGTGTAAAATAAACCGTACTATTATAGCTGATCATTGGCTGTTTATGACATAGAATACTATTCACCGACGTTTTTAGCAAACTTCGGTAAAATCATTAACCATTGCAAAACCCACCCTAACAACCGCTGCCGCTCTTCTTCCCTCGTTGCTATGGCAACAGACCCCTGACCCAGGAAGAAGGTGAGGGATATCGTTTACTGGCGTGCACATTACTTCAGTTATTTAGTGGTCCTTCGTTGTTCTTTGTTGTAGCGCAGCCCTGGCTGCTTGGCTGATCGTCTAGGGGTCTAGGTGTTTGCTAATTTATTTAATTCCATTATTAGCTAATGTTTCGTCATGAGTTTGTTATTACGAGCTGGACGGCTACATTAGAGTGGGAGGGAAATCCCCTCGAATTAAAGGTCTCGAGAGTATTATGGAAATACGTGCACTCAGATTCATAGATTTGACCAAAACACAAGCTGGTCTATAAAATGATTCTACATGAACGACACTCAAGAGTGAGCCGATGAACCTCTAAAATATCTCTGTTGTGACCTGAGTACAAAGTAAATGGCCCTGTCCAAATGCTCCACTACACGGATATTTCACGAGTATTTGACGATTCATAACTATGAACCAATTAACTCACTAGTTCATGTGGAGAATTAAACGGGAGTAAACTTGGAATCATTAGATCTACAGAACAACTAATAGGCTTTTAATTTCGAGGTTTGCAAAAAATCAATAGTGAAAGTAGTCATGTACAGAAATCCAAAGATATCTTTTCTAATCTTCTATTTCGACAAATAACTAGAAAATTCCTAAACCCTAAATCACTAAGGAAACCAAACCGGTCCATACCGGGATAATCTGTCCCGACCACGTTCAAAATCCAATTCCCAGGATGCAACTTTCACGTGATACAAAAAATAGCTGAGACTGTCAACGAGCTTATAGACGGCTGGGTCGAAACAGAAAACAAAAACCTTAGTTTTTGTACCATTTCACGGCATGTTTTAGTATTTTCACTCCACGAAAACGGCCGTTTCGCCCGCAGTTCGATGACAGTCCCAGCCTGTTTCCCAGGCAAACTACTAGGCGAGGACATTTTAATCAATTTACAGTGTGCAGTAATACTAAGGTATCTTTAAAATATTTTAGTCTACGAAAATGTTATGTAATCTAAGATAAATATTTAATTTCCCGATCAATTTTTAAGAATTTAAGACTTATTATTCACTGACCCTACATTGTTAACAGTAACTATTAGTCGAAAACCGCTATAGTGAATCAAGAGACGCCAGATCTCATTGCCCTCTGGTTTATAAGAATACCTGATACAGATAATAATAATATATTTTCCAAATATCTGCACAGTGTTTGGTGATCAAACACCTCTTTCGAGGATTTGCCATCACTTTTAGTTTTCGACTTATGGTACGGTAACTTTGTTCAAATCACTCACTTCCCCGCCTGTTTACGAAGGGCCGTTTTTTGCTTTGTTTAATCAAAAAATGGTTTAATTTGTATCATTATGATCTCTAACACCCTATAACTACTGATGAATGTTTATTATTATTGACAATATATGTAGGGTGAATGGTTGCCGAGCGTGCTAAATCACTCTACAGTCAACCTTCAAGATTTTTCTAAAAAGCCCCCCGACAGTTGGAACGCTGATTCCGAATCACCCCTCATGACATTAAAATGCTCCCCTGGCGAGATATTGGCGAATAGCTGTCTTGATCACGTGATATGTCCATTATATAAGGAAATTGGTCAAATATCTCGCTCTAAAGGGTTAGGGTTTTGGCATATGCTTTTGTTAGAGATTGGGTTGGATTAGGGTTGGAATCAGATTATAGGGTTATTCATGGCCACCTAGAGAACAGGTTTCAAAAGTCACGTGACAGTCGAGTGTAGAGTGATTAATCATCATCCAATGATTTCAGCCATCTACATATTATTTGGAGATCCCCAGGGTGCCTGTATCCATCTAAACGATGGTACCGGTTACCGGTACTCTTATAGGGTGTGAGACTCAACGACGTAAGACTCTACGGCGGCGCAGTAGAGACTAGGACTCTACGGCGGGAAATATTTGTTTCATATTTTCGATCAAAATAGATAGAATTCCATATCAAATTAGGGTGCCCATGGTTACAGGAAATGTTCTTCGAAAGTAAGCTTTTATCTCATCAAGAAATATTTATCTTGACCTATGATACAGCCGATGAAATGAAACACTGATTTGAACACATATCAGCGGGTTGAACTTATCTGAAAACGATAGTCATACTGTACTATACATTATAGATATTCCTGGGTCGTTAATATCATGCAAACTTTCAAATGTAAACAGCGAGTGCATTTAAGAGTGTCTCAAGCCGTAGAGTCCGGACGCCGAAATGAATTGTTTTGAATAAGTTCAAGCAAATTCAGCCAAAATCTGTGTTGTTATTTCTTTGACTCCAGAAACTTCCTAAAAGTAAACCCATGAGTATATTTATTTGACCTTTTAAAAGCAACTTATGGTCTGAACAGAGCTGAAGGGTACCTTAGCAACGCCACAGCAACACCATTGTAACGCCATAGTGGTCCCCTAGCAACATCGTAGCAATTCTTAGAAAATAAAGCTAAAAGACAGGAAGCTGCTGTAATATACCTGACAATGATAATTTCTATTTGTAGCACACCTTGACACACGTTGCTGCACTTCTAAAAATTGTCTGCATGAGTTCTTAATAATTCTTATTAGTTCTTCCTAATGAGACAGACTTCCTATCGTATCTATACAAAGCCGTGTTTAGCCGGACAAGTATAAACGTCATAATATGCTAAAGTAAATCAATGCTGACAGATCCAGACGCGATGATACATACAAAACTACTTAGAATTGCTTAAAGATGACTCGTTTCCATGCATACGGGCAATGTAATTTGAGGTCTGTGGCTGAACCCATTCACTCTACCTATATTTTCAATAGTAATCTATGTTACTAGTAACAATAGGGTGGATGGGATTAAAATCATGCAAATTAAGCCATTTTTTAGTAAAAAGCAGTGAAAGTGAAATATCATGACAGTTTTCAGTAATTGTTCCTCACCGGCAAGTGTGGATCCGACCAGCTCCTTGACAGAGGTCCGGATTTACGTACAACCAACGAAAGGTTGTTTTTAAAACTTTGTTTTGATTCGTCGCATCATCCCATGGAAGCAATTGATCTAGATTGGGCGGAACTGTCGGGCAGAACTGTCAGTAGTTACATATAATGAGATTTTAGTGACGATGTAGTTTATTATACGATCGTCACTAAAATCTATCTTTGGATTGACCGCTGATTTTGGCAGCCAGCTGAATTGCAAAACCTTTTACTCTTTAACATATCATAACCTCAACTAAAATACTTACTTGTCTGTCTTTTCGGCTATATTTATGAAATTATATCAATATCTATCGTAACTGTGTTACTTCAACTTGCGCGTAACCATGGCAATTGGTTACGTGGTGTGTTACTCTGATTATGGCTCATCATGTTTGTTATTAATGCTGCTTATTTCGTTTTTAATGTTTTCAAAACTTTGTTTAACCCTTTCCCTATCATTTTAGCTAAGTTCTATCTCTCCCAGCTCCCTCGTCGAGATACTTCTTTTTGTCAACTGTGACGGGCCCGCTCAAGGTAAAATATTCACTATCACAATATTAAGTTTGCTATAAAATTTGCAGATCAGCTTGCGAGAGCCACAAACAGTGTTTTTAATGAAATATGTCTATAACTTGGGAGTAAAAGGCCACTGAAATTTCGTATCGTCTAACCTGAACAAGCGATCAGTTTGGAAAGAAAAACCGTTTGATTCATTCTGTCTTCTGATTGGCTGAAAACTGTATACTACATTTTTTATCTTTTTACAACCCCCCATTTACAGATGGCCGCGGAGAGAGCAGTAAAGACAGAAGCTGAAGAGGACGATATAGAAGCAGGAGGGTCATTACGTATGGAATAAGTGAATCTGACGATGAGAAAAAAAGCTGCTGAAGTTTTTGGTGAGATAAACGAGAAACCTGTCGTACGTGCGATTACTCGATAGTCGATAAGTTACCAAACTTTTCTGGCTTGATTAGACGATATTTTCTGACAATCTTGGATATTATTACAGCCTAGCTGTTATACTTTTAGTTTAATACCATCCTCTAACCCCTCCGGCCTCCATACTCGATATTATGTTATTATTTGTAAAATTAGTGATATCCCAGGTTTAAAGCTAATGGTACTGGTAGTTTTGCTTTTGGTATTTGAGACGGACTTTGGGAACTAAAACTTTCTTTGAAAACCCCTCTAAACAGGTAAAACTGCATAGTTAGTGTGTCACTCAAACATTGGGGGGGGGGGGGGGGGGGGCAACCATATTAAAGTATATTAAAATATAGGATTTTTTCCGATTTTGACCCGGATATCTCCTTGGAGGCCTACATCAACAATTTTTGCCGGCACAATAAGCTTGAAATGCAATTCTTAATCGATTCCAAAAAGTTCTTGCAAAAATATTGAAAACTGATAGAGTTATTTCAATTTTAATAAAGTCATAATTTTGGCTAGTATTCCGAACCGAGATAATATTATGTGCAATTTTCCCAATTTTTTTCATAGAGGTCTTTTTACTTAGTAATCACTATATTCAACAAACACTGAGGTATATCTTTCACATAGAGTTAGTCTCATTAAAAAATATTGAAGTTTGATCGAATTTAGGCAAAAGCAAATTTGGGCAAAATCGTATGCCCAAATGTGGGCATATTTTTTAAAGCTCATAACTCAGCCAATTTTTGACCAATTTGGATGTAAATCCATGTACTAGTCCTAAAACAGGCTTATCTTGCGAATCTAAGCGAAAAATATAGTTCATCATGTAAATCTTAACGAAGAATATAAATATTCTAATTTTTTCCGATTTTGACCCGGGGATATACTTTATATTGCTGACCTTGTATTGTCCTTCCAAAAGATACACAGCACCATCGGCCAGCCAGTCGCCAAATACTGTAATATTAATAAAACGGAATAATGGCATATTATCTTCTTAGATGACACTTAATACAGCTCCTCCGTACACACGGCTACACTCAGCTCTGTTCACACCGCTCCCATTTGACATTACACATTCCACTGTAATTAGTGTTATTGTAAGAATAAGTTTCAAATGTGTGGTAGCTGGCACGTGTGCGCGGCTCTAGTCATGCCATAATTTTATAGTCACGCACAAATTCATTCATAAAATGTATCCGAAAGTTTTATATAAACCACACTCACTTCAGCATATATTTCTATATTTTACCGCGCTCTCGGGCGTGCCGATCAGCCGATGGGGCAGGGCGGGGGTTTCAAATCATCAAATGATTTAGATTACGCTAGTGTTATTATGACACATAACAATAGCTATACTATCTGTAAAATTGATAACGTAGTGGGGGTGGGGAGGTGTAAGAATTGGCCAATAGTGATAACCTAATTACGTAATATGTGAACTGTCCCTAAATCATTCGACACAATACCGTGTCAATAACTATTATTTAAGTACGTTACGTGAATTGTCGCGTACAGACGGTAAAGTGATCGACCCCAGGAGGTGACCGGGAATCCCGGTACCGGGATTGGCAATTTTGAGCTATCCCGGTCCCGGTCCCGGTCAACCGGGTCAAGTCACATTTTTCATCCCGGTCGCGGTCCCGGTCCGGGGGTGATGCAACGTCAATTAATGTCAGTATTCCATAAAAACCCCAAACTGACATTGACATTAATTGACATTAATTGACATTAATTGACATTAATTGACATTAATTGACATTAATTGACATTAATTTGTCTTGAAATTTGAGATTATCATTATTCGATAGATATTCACGTCTATGTAAGTTAGACCGGTTCAAAAAAAAACAAAATGTCCTTGAATAATTATGATTATGTTCTTATCTGTTGATCCTGAGGTTCAAAGACCACCAAAAAAAAATTAGCTTCCAACTCTTCCATCTTCGGTCCCCACCGGCCACGCCCATATTTTATTGGTTTCTTATACAGGTAAAATATCTAGAATCGGCTTTTTTAGCATGAAGGAGTAATGTTAGCTGTTTAAGATTCGTTATTCAAATATAAATGTCATGAAGGCATTTCGTTTAATGTGGGTTTTAAGTTCTGATGATGTTGAGAACCACGCCCTTGGATGGCCACGCCCATTTAAGAAAATTAAATTTCGGAAAACCGTTTTATTTTAGTTTTATTGTTTAATGATCTGAATTTTTCACATTTCACATTTCCATATGTGAAAGTAGTGAATAAATTGATGATATAAACGTTCTAAAGTGCTAAAAATATGGTAGAACTACATAATCTCTGGTCGAAAAATATCGTGTCAATTAATGTCAGTATTCCAAAATTTTGCAAAACTGACATTGACATTAATTGACATTAATTGACATTAATTGACATTAATTGACGTTGCATCACCCCCCCCCCCCCCCCCCCCCGGTCCCGGTCAAATGCTGATTTATGATCCCGGTCCCGTCCCGGTTAATTCAGGATTCTTGGTCCCGGTCCCGGTCCCGGTCCCGGTCAATCACTCAAATTTGCCGGGATTTTGACCGGGATCTTTCACATAATTTCATTCACTGTGATTTTAAGTTTTTACTTTCATTCATTGTGAATTTCATCTTTAAACAACCTCTGAGCCAAATAACACAATGTTTAAAATTGCTAAACAAGTTTAGGTAACTAATATCGTTACATAACTCATAAGTGCAAACTAACATCAAGTTTTCAACTCGGGCTACGCCCAATTGTCAATTGGAATTGGAGAATGAAACTGTTGAATAATTTGAGGGATCATTGATTGAGGAATGAGGAATGAGGGTGAACTTGAGTAATCAGTACATGAACATTATTGGTGTAGTACATTAGGCCCATGCCCCATATTGACGGTTTTTTAAAAGTTTTTTCTAATTTAATATTCTAGTTATTACTTATTCAAATTGTTCAATTATAATGTAAATGAAAGTTGCAGCTTTCAATATGAGAATACCAGTTTTGGTCCCGGTCATCCCGGTCATCCCGGTAAAATTGGATTGTTGGTCCCGGTCCCGGTAAGATAGAAATCCCAGAAATTATTGGTCCCGGTCACGGTAAATTGATAATCTCAGTCCCGGTCCCGGTCAAGTCACATTTTGTATCCCGGTCCCGGTCCCGGTCAGGCCTAAAATCATGTCCCGGTCACCTCCTGATCGACCCTTTAGACTTAGTTACGCTACCACCTCTATCACCCCTTCAATCGCTCACCCCTACTAAGAGAAAGAAAACTTCGCCGGTTGAAGACGGTAGTTGATATTTGGGTTACAATGTTTTATTTTTTCTTCACTTACTGGTAATTTCCGTCAAAAATTTAAAAAGAATGTTCACTGTTAAGGACACAGTTTATTTTACATCCCAAACGTGTTGGGAATTTTCAAGATACCACATTCCATATGACACGTAACATGGATCATTCAACGTCAATTAATACAGCCACGCACTTATCCCATGAATTTGTGTTTATGTTTGTTTGTATATTACATAACCACTTTATATTACGTAATCAATCACTTTTCCGACAATTTGTACCCATGCAACTCATCCCACGTAACTGGAATATTATAAGACTTAGCTTATAAATTCTAAATAGATTTCTAAACGCACACCTATTTTTCAGGAGGTGATCTACAATAATGAAAGATGATCTATTTCTGGCCAGAAATTTGCGGAGTTCAATCGTCTTGATATCAGTCTTGGCTGCAGTTGTATCTCTAAAAATCAGGTATACATTATTTTAAAATAAAACTATCCTTCCTGGCTTAAACCCTGGTTGTTAAAACTAAAAGCCGCCTTGCATATTCATCTTTGATTAGAAATGAATCAGATTTGTTAATTTGGTAATTTCATGATAGAAGTTGAACATTTTCTCCTCATTTTCACACGTAGTAGCTTATTTTCTTTCCCTCAGTGACGGTTTGAGGAGACACTGCATCTCACTGCTCAGTGGAGACACGGGGATATGAAGCAGTTTTCCCTCTCAAAGTCCACTGAACGTTGTCACAGTCCGATCAGAGTAAGCAGCAAAGATAAAAAGAGACTTTACCTCTGATGTCAGACAGATAAATTTTGACGAAAACAGACCTCGGAGGGTTTAGTAAAGTAAACAGACTGGCTATGGTCCTAGTACAAGAGGAGGAGAACAAGATACTCGCAATCTGTACGACTAGTTACTCTCAGTCTAAAAGGACTAGGACGAAGCAGACAAAGTGAAGAAGATTCTCGACGACCGGACCTAGCAGATAAAATAATAGCCGTTGGATTTGATACGACATCATCCAATACTGGAGTTCACAAAAGAGCATGTACTTCTCTTCAGCAGGTCCTCAATCGACAGATCCTCTGGATGGCCTGCAGACATCACGTCCTGGAGGCGGAGCTTGTAAGAGGATCTGCCTCCAAGCAACTGTTCGGTGACACAATATCACTCGAAGTAACCCTCTTCAAGATCATGAAGACCTCCTGGGAATCGATCTGCAGAACATCGTCCTTCCCGATATCCCTACGCGCTAAAGGAACGACGTAGGAGATATTCTATCCTTTATTAATCACATCCGTCAACTCAACAACCAGCCCAGAACATTACAAGGAATTCCTAGAGCTTGCTAAACTAATCCATAGAGAAAGCATAGATATGAAGAAAGGATACGTCTTCCAGATACAAAGACCTGGAGCTGACCACCATGCCAGATGGATGGCTAAGTCCATCTACATTCTACATTATGAAGATGGCTTTTCTTCACTAGATACCAATTCACTGTACGAAGAAGAGAAACGTGCAGAAGATGGCTCACTTTGTTGTCTTCGTTTATTTGAGAGCTTGGTTCAGCGCTCCTTTCCTTGAATCTACAGCCTCCGCCGACACCCGTTTGTTACAGAGTCTTCAAAGGTACAAGAGTGTGGACATAGTATCAGCCATCACCACGGCAGTCCTGAAGAGGCAAACATGGACCTGACTGAAAAGCTCGTCCCACAATCCTTGTTTGATAAAGACCTACCTCTAGAGCGAAGAGCTCTCCTTGCAGCAAGAATAGGCCAACAAACTCTTTGAGCCTTATGAACGTAAAATTATCTTAATTGATAAAAAATTATTTGGATATGTTTTCCTTTTATGAACCTCTTTATAATGACCAAATAAGGATGTTGGTATAATTTGTCGTAGTCGTACGGGTAATGGTTTTCAACATACGTTCTACACTCTAATTTGGGTTTAGATTTTTAATAGTCTCTAAGGACTACTTGAAGTAGTACGTGTTAAAGTATGCTACGTGCAGTTGGTCGAGTACTGAGTGATCAATCATCTTCACATGTTTACTGTTTCAGTTTAGTGTAGACCTTGTTGTAGAAACTCAGTACGGTGCTCCGCAGTTAATGTCATTCTGTATCATACGAAAATGCATAGCTAGCATGAGGTATGATAATCCCTCGTATCGGAATCTTTTACATATCTAATCGATTGAGTACCTGGGGACCCCGTTTTAGGTTTTCATACACGTATCAGTCATGAATCAAGCATATTTACTAAAATCTAATATTAATATAACTACTGTGTTTGAGAACACAAAGCCCGGGGTCCCCGGGTAAGTTAAAGCTGAAAATATTCTGAGTGATTTGTGTGTTTGGTAATGGTACTGGCTATAGCACTGACAACTGTGAACTGAGCACTCTCGTGAATAGCTATTTGTCAATAGTTTACGAATGACTCCATTATTAACCGTTCTCTTTAAATTATGTAATAAAATTATTAGAATATGATCTTTAAATTATGCATATGTAATAAAATGATTAAAATATGAAAGTTGACATAAATTCTGAGATATGTCTACCACCTTTTTCCACTTGATTGTATTAACCTTTAGACCTCCGGCTTTTGTGTTCTTTAACACGATTGATATATAATATGGTGGAATGACATTGGTCGCGTTTTTGGTGTGGAATGCTAGGCGAGTTGTCGTGTGATCATTAACAATTCAGTAATAGTAATACTAGTTATACCATCATGAAACCTTTGATCCGTCAAAGTTCGGGATTGCAATTGCAATTGCAAATTGACCAAAACAAATGAGAAACTTCATAAAGTATCACAACGCTACCGCACTAGTAACTTACAACATGTCGCTTGTCGGCTTGTTGCCACTCTGTCACATACTGCTTTTAAAAGGTCTACCGATATGCGATTATCATTACAAAACATATATTTTGCGCGCTCAGCATTCCACGCGCAAAAACGCGCCCGTCCGAGAGACCTGCGCGTATTAGAGGGCTCAGTCTCACCAGGCTATGTTAATGAACATAATAGCCTGGGGTCCTCAGGTAAGATCACGTGATATGACCGTATAAGGAAGTTAGTCTTATTTCTCGTTAGGGTTAGAGTTAATTGACGATGTTGATTCACGATGTCAATCCTTCGCAGCTCGGTGAGGCACAGTGGCGCATCTCGCCGATCTAGCCTCATTGAGTGCGCGGCGCGGCACAGTAACGCATCGCGCTACAAGGGTTAAAGTTTCAGCATATGCTTTTGTTAAGGATTGGGTTAGGGTTAGGATCAGATTAGTTTGAATTTATTTATGAATATAACATTATGTATTGATTGTTTCTAGGATTCACCTAACGATGTGCTCTCGCGCCACTGCGGGCGCGCTTGTTTCACAAGTTTTTACCGCCGTGAGGCGGGCGCGCGCTACTGCAATGTGCAAGCGCAAGGGCTCTGGATAAAGCAATTTCTAGACGGCCCCAACGTTAATGTGGCTCTTGCTATGTGTTGGTTCAGCCGAATTAATTATTATGTAATCAAGTTTATTTTTATCTTTTAGTTAGTTGTCATCCGGCCAAACATTAAACAACTTATATTGCAGTTCCATTTATCAATTAGTATATCAAAATATGAAATATTGAATATGTCATTGTAATTTTGCATGGCTGAAATGTAACGCTTGATTTATATATATAATTAATTGACGATGTCAATTCATGGCAGCTCGGCGCGGCACAGTAGCGCATTTCGCCGATCTAGCCAGTGAGAAGCCTCATTGAGTGCGCGGCGCGGCACAGTGACGCATCGCGCTACAATATATAATAATTAATTGAATTTTCAAATTTTAAAAAAAGTTTTGTGGTAAATACGTTCAGGACGAGCTAGAGAACAGGTTGAAAAAGTCACGTGACAGTTGAGTGTAGTGATTAATCATCATCCTTTTCAGCAGGTGCAAGGTGGAGGCTGGGTTGCTCTTCTGGGGTATTTTCTCCTAGATTTGGTAGGATGGAGGGTATTTGTTTTATGTACCTCAATTCCTCTTTTTGTGCCACCTATACTTATACTACACTGTTGCATAAAAAGAGAAAATAGAAATAGTGGCCCGACTGAACAACCTCTAATAAGTACCCAAGGAGGAGAAGAAACACCAAGCGAGTCTAATGAAACCATCCATGGTGAGAATCTCGCCTCAAGGATTACCAAAGCCAGTATTTTTGTCTTCATCAACATCTTCCAAGGATATGGTAGTATAATTCTGCTTCCAGGATTGATGAGAGGAGAACGAGAAAAGGTGCAAGATCCTGACCGAGAAACAGGACGGACCCTGTAACAGTGTGGTAATGTTGTACCACATTGGAGGACTTCGCCGCTTCGACGCGCCGCGCGAACTAGCATTCTTGCTTCGCATCGTCGATCGTTGCTCTGCTTCGCAGAGCAACGATTTCGATGGGTTGACATCGTCAACCAAGTGGTAATGGTAATCAATTCCTAGTTTTAGCTCTTGTAACTGGTGCTGGCAACTTGTTTGGACGTGGGGTGGGATATCTTCTCATTAGAATTATTAGATTCAGGATCCTCCAACCAACTCTGGCATCAGTCATCTCTAGTCGGATATCTTCTAGTCGAGAATAAAAGTATGATATTGGTTGTCTGCTCAATGGGGTGGTGTAAGATAGTTTACTCAATGATGCGATGTGAAACTTGTCTCATTTCATTCGATCCTACGTTCTTTGGAACAGTGACTATAGCTAAAGCAGGTGGAATCGTTCTCGGCATGTTCGGCTCCGTGGTTGGTAATGGGTGTGCTGCCTTCCTCAAACCCCACATCACTGTACAAGTTGCATTTTTTTAAAGCTTAGTACTGATTGGGGTTGTATGCACCATAACAGAGCGATAAAAATAAATAACTTTGATTAACCTTAAGTCTTCTACTGTTATTGATTCTCATTTCAAGAAAGTTTCAGATGTTTGTCAAATGACATATTATAAGAAAGTAGTTGAGCAGCAAGAGTTGGGGAAATGGGGACGCGTTGAAAGCCACCGTAAGTCAGGCTTACTGTAGACGCCGACCAATTTGAAGAAGAGATATTAGAAAGTAGGTTTAATTTCTCGTCAGGGTTTCGGGAGAATTGGGTTCCGGGAGAATACAAGATTTTCAGACTAAAATTGTGTACCTATGCTACTAGTGTAACCCGGATGTGACAATAAAAAATCGGCTCATTTAAGATTATCATATAATTATAAAAATAAACATTTAAGTCAAATATATCATCCATAAAAACAGTTCTTTAATTAAGACCACACTTCAAATAACATGCATATCGGACAGTGGTGCAAAATCATAGCCAGTTAATAAATAGTTACCTTATCGGACCTTATTTGGACGGACATTACTTGAACGCTGGAGGCCCTAGTGTTCATCTTAATGTCCGTTCAAATAAAGTCCGTTCAATTAATGTCCGTCCAAGTTAAAGTCCGTTGAAATTTTTTCAAAAAGTTTTCCATTTCGAACTTTGTACCCAGAATATGACAACTATGAGAACTTTATTGTGCCGTAAGTTAACGACGGAAAGGTTCTCCTTGGTCTGCCGGAGGCACAGAAAACTTTACTAGTATATGTTTTCAAGGGTCACTTGGCGGAAAAAGTCAACGAAATCATGGCACTCAACAACATAGTTCATGAGCTAGTCATGACAAACTTGTTCCAGCCTCTAGATATTACGGTAAATCGTGTTGCCAAGGACATTGTCCGACGTTGTTATAGTTCATATTACTGAGGGGAGGTAATGAAACAGTGCTAGGAAAGCTCCACGTGATGTTAAGGTTAACCTAAAGTTGTCTAAGATAAAACCACTTCACGCCGAATGGCTTGTAAAAGTTAACACTGAAATGCAGGACCGGGGTAGTTTGATTAAAAAAGGTTTCCACAAAGCTAGAAATCACTGATGCTTGTTTAAGCATGGACTATTTCATGCACGAAAACCCATTTAATGAATATGATATGTTATATTAGACACTGATCATGTACACATATTTTAACATTTTTACTGCTTAATGACTGCTTTTCTTACTTAAGTACTTACTGTATAAAAATGGATTAAAAAATCATTTGCTGTAATTAAAAAAACGTCAAAAATTGAAAAAAATTCAGATTTTTGATGGTTTTGAATGCCTTCGAGCGTTCATATTAATGTCCGTTCATGTAACGTCCGTCCAAATAAGGTCCGATAAGGTAGTTAAAACCCTGACCTTACAGCATGTAAGGATGCGTCTAACAGCTTACTGATTAATGAATAACTTACATTTTAGAAACTACATCGCATTAAAAGAAGGACTCAATGACTTCCATAAATAATTTAGTTGTGTACATTAGCAGGGGGCAACGTTGCCCCGCCCCCCCCCCCCCCCCTACATTAGCAGGGGGCCGAGTGGTCTATGCTTCTCCACAACTCGTAGATATTAATGTCGTGTCCGGTGGAGGTGCTGGACTCTATTTTGCGAGCTTTCAGGTCCCAGAACACCAAGTTATCTGCTACTGAGTGGGTCGAGCTGAGGAAATTTTCACTTAGAATACCCCAATTTGTTTATCTTACCTCAAATATAAAATCACAATAGAAATGAGCAAATATTTTCCAGAAATATGCAAAATCCTGTCACAAAAAAGGCAGAATCTCATTAAATCTACAGTACCTGCGAATCTGATGCGCCATCCAGCATTTAGATTCCGGCTTGCGAGAAAGAGCGTCACTAATAGACGACAAAACACCATCAACGTCCGATTCTAGAAGGAAGAAAGTAAAGATATAATCGAAAACAAATCAGGGACTTGAAAACCGAAATATTTCAATTCAATGGCGATGACACTGCAAAATATTGTACCTTCTGAGTCGTAAATTAGATCGGAGGCAAGAACTAGATCGACGGGGAACAACTTTTCAGATTCGTAGTATTTAATCTCCGTATATGCTATTTGAGTGTTATTCAGCTCTGCTACCTTCCTGAATTTTGGTTGTTCAGATGAAAAAAACATAAATCATACTTCACGTATTGCTTTCATATGTATCTAAAAGCATTCTAATGTCGTTATGAGTTAGCTATCCTATGAACAGTCAACTCACATCTCAAAATACACACTAAACTGAGATTAGATCAGAAGTTAAAACAAGAAGAATACCCACCTCCAGTACTTGTAGTCCATGGTGGCGTCCGAGAGGGTAACTAAAGCCCCACATTTAGCAGCTACTAATCCTGGTAGTCCAGTTCCACAACCTAGCTTTAGAGATGGGGTCGTTAGATTCAGCACCCATTCAGCACTAAAATAACTATAACTCAGTACAGCTCAGGTGACAAGGCAATCCACAGTCTATTAGACTTCGGCAGAAGAATTGAACAGATCTGTAGGTTAAGTTAGGCCCCTAATATCGGGACAAACGCAAAACAAGAACTGAGGAAGGGGGGGGGGGGGGGGGGGGGCCAATGACTACCAATGGAGACTTTTGGGGACTAAAAATCATGGGGACTAGAGGTCAACTCGTTGACGTAATTCACCATTTGTCCCCATAAGTCCCCAGAATTTTTGACAGTTATTTATGGTTTTCAAGTTAGTTTAATAACGATACGATCGAGATGTTTTGTCCAAGATAAGAGTAGGATAAATCTAAATGGGGACTAATGGAGACTTTTGGGGACTAAAAATCATCTAAATGGGGACTAATGGGGACTAAAAATCATGGGGACTCGGGGTAAAATCGTTGACGTAATTCCCCAAGTCCCCAAAAGTAGTCATTGGCGCCCCCCCCCCCCCCCCCCCCCCCCCCGGAAGGGGTAATGGATTACCAACCTCAAGAACGGAGCTGCATGGTGTGATGTTCCTTCGCACAAAGTCAGCCAAGACTTCAGCACATGGCCAAGTGAAAAAGTTAAACTCTTTACATGCTCTCTGAAAGGAAAGTATTGCGGTGAATCAGATGTAACTATCTTTTGTTGGATGGCTTAATGAGGCGACTGACTGCATTGTCAAATAGTTTAATCTTGATAAGAACGCAGGGTTGCTGAACATTAAATTTATTCGAACTTACATCAACGACAGTGACAGAGACGTCTCCAAAAGTGAACTCTTTAGGAAATTCCCTCGGTTCGGAGGAGTCCGCGAACAGAATTTTAAATTTGACCTGTAGCTGTGCAGATCAAAATGGATGAGAACAAAATCTCGTAGAAATCAGACATTTTGTGATATTTGAAATCGAATTGTTCTCGTCAAGCTTGAAGTTTTAGTCATAATTTGTTAAACGATTGTAGATTTTGGTCGATTAAAACAAGGTTTCACAATAGGTAAAAATTTAAATTAATAAAATTAAGTCGACTGGACTTCCCAGACGCAGATTTCGTTATTCGTGTAGCCGGCGTAAAGAGTTTGGCCATCTGAAGACCAAGCGAGGCAAGTGCAAGCGACGGCACCGTTGTTCGATGTGTTTTCCAATTTCTTCTCATCGACGATCTGTTTTCCTTCGAGATCCCAGATCTTGATTTGAGAGCCGGTGGCGGCACAGAGCCAGTATCTGTTGGGAGAGAAGGCGAGGGCGTTGATGGCATCACCACAGTCCAAAGTGTAGAGATGTTTGTCTGCGTTGAGATCCCACAGCATGGTCTTGGTGTCTTGTCCACCGGAAGCAGCCAGGGAACCGTCAGGGGAGATGGTTACGGTGTTGAGGTGTCCGTTGTGACCGACATGGTTGGTCTTCAGCTTGCAGTTCTGGAGGTTCCATACCTTGACCATGTTGTCCCAGCCAGCTGAAACAAGAAGTGGGTTCTTCTGGTTAGGACTGAACCTGACACATGATACCCATTCACTGTGACAATCTTCTTGGATTGTGTATTTACATTCGGCCAAAGTGTTCCACAGCTTGATGGTCTTGTCTCTGGATCCGGAAACGATCTGCCTGTTATCAGCGGAGAAGGCGACTGAAAGGATATCTTTCTCGTGACCCCAGAATTGACGAGTAGTTGCTCCCGTGTTGAGATCCCACAGCCTCATGGACTTGTCCCATGATCCAGACAGAGCGAACTGACCGTCTGAAGAAACAACGACGTCGGAAACGAAGTGAGAATGGCCGGTAAGGGCTCTCTTGGCGTATCCGTAGTTATCACTACCACTTTCACCCAACTCCCACAGGATGATTGTGTGATCTCTTGACGACGAAAGGATCATGTTGGGCACTTGAGGAGTGGTTGCGATCTGTGTGACCCAGCCATTGTGGCCCTTCAGGCTACCTTTGAGAACTAACTGCTCGGTCATGTCTAGGGACAGTGATTTATTAAAATAAGAGTTGTGAAGAGAAAAACGATATGCAATTTCAGTAAAATCAAACTAGCGCGCGCCGCGCAAAAATATAGGGCGAGAATGATAACAGGAGCCGAGAAAAACCACTACAATATTGTCCGCGCGTTACGTTTGGTCTTAAAAACGTCTGATTTGCCACGACTTTGGCAACATTTTAGAACCTTCGATCGTAATTCGGATTTAAGGTTAATCACACGAAATAAATATCACAGTAGATCAACAATACATTCCACATCAATATAGTCGTTTAAATACAACTTTGGATATGAAAATTTATTAAAATTTGTGATTATGATACTGTACATATATAATCCACGTAAATTACAAAATAATTTCATGATATTGATATGACGTTCAAAATCGAATACTGTAGAGCTGTTATTCAAATAAGAGTTAGACAAACACAAACCCTCAACATCTAGAAAAAAGTGCTTTCCTGGAACATCCAGCTAAAATCTAACTTGTTAAAACCAAGTTCACTTCTTCAACCTAAACATGAGTTCCATCTCAAGAAAAGCCTTCAAACTAGGATCGTCGATTTGAGCCAAGATGTCTTTTGAAACAGATTGAGGACAGTCCCCATACTGAGATATCAACTTATCAGCGTAGTCTATCCAAACACAATTAGCACAACCAGACATGCAACAAGTGGTCGGGGCAGGGGGCAGTGTACCAAGGGGCGGACAATCTGATAAATATCTGAGGAATTTGACGACTCTAGCTGCTGACGATCGTGCCATGTATGCCATACATCCCTAAGGGTTTGTCTTATTCATATAATGGATCTATTAGATATTAAGATAATGAAATCGTTAAATTTAATGTTCATGGATTAAGAAGCTGCTGCATTCTGTTTTCGTAAGCCCCTTTCATAACTCCAACTTCATCAACCAGCCTAGTCTTCTCATGCTGTGACAGTTTCTGGTACTTCTGAGCAAACAGTTTCATGTTTTCTGGAGCTGTAAGCTTGGGATTCCCCTTTTGACGTGAAATAAAGAGCGCGTACCCAGAAATTGGAGGTCTCTTTGGTAATCTTCCTAGCTCCTCAAACTTCTTCATCATATATTTCTTCTCTTTCTTATCCTCTGCCTCAAATAGCAACTGCAAAGAAGCAGTTTTGAAAAATTTGTCGTACTTTTTTGTTTCAACGAGAGCTTTCTGTTGGTATATGGTTTTACTTCCTGCAGGAAGAGTACTCCAAGCTTGACCTAGAGACTTCATTATGTCTTTACCAGGTGTATTCGGTGGGTGCTTGGACTTAACAAGGGGGAAGTTGGCTGATACATAGTGGATGTAAGGGTTAGAGGGTCGCTTTGGGAGAGAAGAGAGTTGAGCAGCAGAGAACTGAGGGCAAACTGCAGCCGAGACTCTGCTTAGAATCATCCTAAAGTGGTTCACGTGTTATATCAGAATGTGCCAAGGGAACTGGTGATAAAATGACGCAACGCATAACCATATAGTCCTTAATTCAATACGTAAGAAAAAATAGAAATTTGAAACGAACTAGGTTGCGATCTGTAATCATGCACTTGAAATTTGACCATAAAATATAAAGAGGGCACAATTTTCTGTGATACCTTTGGCAATGTTTAGACCGGTTCACTTATCACTTAGACTTTGATTTAATCCATCAAGTTGTGTCTTCAAATAATTTAAAACCGGGGGCTGCAGGGGTGTTAAAATAACGGACCATTACTATTAGCATAAATACGTATTACGTAAGCTGCTTAGGGGGTCCAGGGGGATGCAGATGAGGCATGAAAAAGCTTACATGGGAGAGGGTCTAGGGCCGGGCTGGCATAATTAAGGGGCGGGGAGGGGGCAGTTGTACGCTTACAGTGACTTACGAGAGGAGTGTAAGATAGCCAAATTCATCTAAGAAAGTAATATTTAACCGAATAAGCAAGGAAATCTGTGCTCTTAATTTGATGGTTTGGAAATGTGCTGCAACACAAACTGAATTGTACTAGTAGGAACATTCTTAAACTTGTATAGGAACATTCTTAAACTATAAATATTAACAACATTAACATATTCTGGCCCTTTTTACCATTGGCATTCAAGTAAGGGGAATAAAACTAGATAAGAAAAGCTACATTAAAACAGATGAGTACATCTATTCTTAGTTAAGTTGAGAAATTTACTCTGCTTTTGCATTTATTCGATCATGGTAAAAAGCACTGTGCTGTAGCATACATCTAATTTGCAGTGTTTGAAGTTTTCGATTCCAGGCGATGGATGAGCAGGAAAAAACTGACCGATGAGATTGTTGTCAACAATCCCTACATTGTAGTTAACGGTATTTTATTATTCACACAATGTATGTAAAAAAACTTAGTGGAAGGAAATGGCCACAGTAAATTGCCATTAGGGTTAGAGCAGCGAATTGGAATTTTACTGTACTCACTGTTAGTCCATCAAAACGTAGAGCCAGTTTAACAGCAAACTTCACCTTGTTTGACGACTCATTTGCAATTCAAGGAACTGCATTGTGGAAATGCAATCCCCTACCATCTGAGCGTCATTCAAGATCTCGAGCATTTCAAAGATAGGCTCATCAAGTTCATGTTGTTTCTCCCTGATAAGCTGCCAATCCGGGCCAATCAGGGGATATATACTCCTTCAAGTACAATCTCTCTGTTGTGCTGGCGCAACAAACGAGAACTAACGCAACAAGCGGGAACTTTGGCACAAGACTTTACTTCGCTGAGTGACCTATATTGAGTTTGGAGGAGAGAAAGCAGCAGATGTAAAAGGAAGATTTGCCTGGTGCATGAAGGATATTATCCAAAGACGAGGAGCTAAAACGTCATGACATGCAGACATGAAGGTAGACATTAGGTCACTCCTGTTTGATCTAATCCCTTGAGCACATTAAAGAGAAAGAGACTGTTGCGTTGGGTGAGAAATGACAGTCCAAGTGAGAGGTTGAACAAGAGACTTCAGTGAGTATTGAGTGAGACACTCTATACTAGGATCCTTATCAATAAGAGTTTGTAGAGAGTTTTCATTACAGAAAATCCTAAAACTGATAGGCTGGAGGATTTGAAGGCCGGAGAAGCTGGGGAGACATTAGAGAGGGAGAGGCTGAAGAGAGTTCAAGAAATGTAGAGGTACGGTACAAGGATACAAAAGTGATCATTACTTTATTGAGTACACAATAGTTGAAATTCTGAAATAATTTAAGTTACGCAATTCTAATTATTTACAAATGTGTAGGGATAATTAAGAAATGTTATTTAATACTAGTTTTTTAAACTATCGGTTACATATATACTTGAACCTACTTGAGTCCTAACACTATCCCATGAAAACACAATATAGTGCAGTTACCCAGAAAGAATACAGGCTGGGGGGTGAGTGTTTGCAGAAAGAGGAGCTGAGTTAGAGGCAATGTTGGAGACAGATTCTGTGAAGCGCAAGTTGCTGGAGAGATAAGAGCCAGGTAGGGTTCAAGGACAGAGAGAGGGCAGCGAGAGAAAAGTAAGAGAAAGATCTGGGAGAGGTTTGAGGCTTGTCAGATGTTGAGCTGCAGCGGGGTGAATAGTGGGAGGATGATACACTGTAGAGGAAAATGAAAAAGTACAACAACAGAATCATCCAGGTGGAAAAAGGCACCTTTACCCCACTTATATACTCAACAAATGGCGGATGGGGTCCACAAGCCACAAGATACCACAAGAGACTCGCTGAAAAACTATCCCAGAAGAAAGGAGAAGACTATGCGGCTATTATGTGTTACATGCGCACCAGGATTAGATTCTCAATCCTCAGGAGCACCCTGATAGCGGTCAGGGGTGAGAGAGGGAGACGGCAATCGTATACATTGCCAGTCAGTGTAACTTCGTTTAATTTGACACCATGGACTATGAATGTTTCTAGACACTATCCTTTTGATATTGAGATATTGGTATCTCAGATCACGTGTACATCGTTGCTTTTTATGACACAGTAATTTATTGACACTCACAGCTATAATTTTAATCATTGAATCAGTATTTTAATCTGTGCTCTGCGTAATGCATCACATGAATCAGTTTTTTAATCTATTAACTTATTACACATTTGTGCCCTGCTTTAGCATCACTTGACTATTTTAAAAAATTGTTTGTTCAGGCCATGACCTTATAGTCAGCCAATTGGCCATTGCTATATTATGTGCATATTGTTTTATTATGTTTTCATTTCTACCTAATTTTAAGAAATTCATGCTGATCTTTCTTGCTGAGTTTTTTGACATTTTCATCTACACTGTAGAGTTAGAGGAAGGAGAAAGTGAGTGCACTGGTTTTGATTGGGATATCAATGAGATTGAATTACCATTTGCCAACAAGTTAGAGTTTTGAGAGGGAGAGGTCGGATATTAGAGAGCTCGAGTAGAATTTGAGGTCACAGAGTGAGAAGCAGGATAAGGTGCTAAACTTATGACTGGTGAGGCTGGAAAGGCAGAGGGTTGAGAGAGCCAGTGAGAATACACCTACAATCTACATAGGTTGGATTTTCTGCGCAAAACATGATAGTTGTTTTAGGGACAGAAATGAACATATGCTAATAATATTTCTAATTTAAACTTTCAAAAATATAAGATTACAGCAATAACTTAATATAAAGTATAATCCTGATCAAACACCTAAGAATAGATGGTAGGTATTAACATTGAGATTCCGTTAGATGAATAAAACTAAGCTCGAAGAATCAAGTTACATATGCATATGCCATGTTCAAACATTACGGGTGGATGCTTATCACTGCAATCGATGTTTGTGGGAAAGTGAGACACTTGGCCTGGTGATCTCAAGACACAAGATCGTGACTCAAATCCCCAGCCACTTTGTAATTCAACCCCACTGTGCAACAACATATAAATCAAACTTAAACTTAGACAATAATGGCAATTAAAAGTATTGAAGAATTTTACCTGTGTGGACGATCATCCATAACACACCCCTGGGGCTGATGGCAAATGGGTCTCATACTAGCAAAATACATGAGCATTCAACACAAAAGGATTTCATCAGACCGCATGAAAAAAAGTCAGATAGAGAATGGAATAACACATATGTTGAGAGAAATTTGATAGCTTCAGTCGGAACCTCCACAAAACGTTTCTTTAATCTTGAGGTCAACATACAGGTAAGCAAGCCATGCACAATGACATTTCAATCTGATACAAACGATCAACAGACATCATTGGAAAAACCAAGGATCAATGATAACTAATATAACAATAGACAGTTTTTGGGTTTTTCCAAATAGTTTCTGATTATTCTGATTTGCGACAAATGATATTGCACTGTTAGGATAAACGACGTTTCAAAGTAACAACTTCTTATTCATGCTGACAAAATTGGTAAATATGTGAGAAAACTGTCTCATAAAATTTCTTAATCAAAAATGGCTAAACCGAAACGACAACAAATTGTTCAAATACTCGACTAAAATTAGAATCAAAATCTATATATATACAACACTACTCGATCTGCTATTCAATAAACTTAAAACATCCACTAAACAGCAAGTACGTGATTGTGATCGTGTGATGGAATGACATGTACAGTGATAACAGATGATTTAAGATGTAAGTGATAACAGATGATAAGGTAAAAGATACAATACATGTGAGATGGTGTATACACAATGTGAGTGAAAATATAGTGAGTGGTTACTGATTGTGAGCGAGATGTGAAAAAACATTAAAACTTACTACTGCTAGAAAACTTAAACTGTATGCAATAAAAAGGGAATGAAACTAAAATATCTAAAATTCTTCAGTACTAGCTATGATAAAACGTTTAATAGTATCCAGTTCTTCTCTCTTGTTAATTGTAGGGTTCAGATTAATAATAAACATCGCTTCAAAAATCTTTCTTCTGACAGTATTGGGTTCAATTCTTAAAATATCTACTTCTAAACTGGGATTTAACCCCTCATGACAGCTCGAATAATGTATGGCAAAAGCTTGACTAACATTAGAAGGGGTAGCAGGGTAGGTAGCGTAACGTAAGTGTTCTCCTACACGAGCATGTACTTTCCTACTGGTTTCTCCAACGTACAGCTGGTCACATAATTTACACTTAATCTTATATACAACATTCTTCACTTCACAATCTTTATTACAAACTATCAAAGGACAAATTTTACATGAATTAATACTGCACACACGTTTATCATACGGTCTGTTACTACATAAAATATTTCTCAATTTCGAAGTAGGTTTAAAGTTTACTTTAATAGGTAAATTGTTCTGCTTTACATAATTTCTAATCTTATTGCTAGTACTGTCTGAAATAAAATCTAAATTAAGAACTGTCCTGGAATCATCCTCAACACTCTGACGCCTGTTAGAATTACTACTGTTACAATAACGTCTTGGGTTCTGGTAACCGTTTTTCTGTAATAGATCATCAAGGAGTCTGAGAGAGTGCTCCTTTTCCGCTGGACCAGATGAGATACGGCAAGCCTCGCTATATAGGTTCTTCACTGTATTAATCTTAACAGACTCAGGATGGCAAGAGTTGTTGTGCAGGGTAATATCCTTTTGTTGCGGCTTGCGGTACAATCTGCTGGTTAATTTACCGTTTGGCTCGATCCGGACCTCAGTGTTCAGGAAGGGGATAAAATCGTCCTGTTGTTCTGGAAAGTCGACCTCCCACTTCAACTTTTTGTCCGGATCTTGGTCTGCAATCTGTTGAACCAGAGCAAGGGCTTCTTCTTTCGTCTCTGCAGTACTGGCAGCATCATCTATGTAGCGTTTGTAGAAGTTCGATAAGTATACCGATAGGTAGTGTCGATCGGTGTAGATAGAGTTCTTCTCGAACTTGTACACTCTAATGATGGCACAGAAGGGCCCTGGCCTCAAACCCATGAACAGACCATCCTGCTGTAGCCAGAGAGTCCTGTTATACACAAAGAAAGAGTTGGTAAGGATGTGTAGTAGGATCTCATGAATGTCTGTCAGGCTGAGTCCCATCAGGTCCAAACTGTCTCGGTGCTCTGTAGCTAGCTCAATGACATCGTCTATACAGCCCTGTACGTTTATGTTAGTGTATAAAGCTGAAATATCCGCGGCAAAGAACTTTCTCCTGGCAAGCTGTTCCTGAGAGATCTGGCGGAGCATCTCTATGTATGTATGTATGTATGTATGTATTTTGACACGGGGCAGCGCTAGACCCCATGTAGTGCCCTCAACCTACTTTTAGATTTGAAGGTCATAAAGGCGACAACAATGCCAAGAGGACAGCGCAAGCCGGTGGGCTGTACACTGGGCACGTGCGCGTAATAATAGAGCTCAAACAGGTAATAGACCCCGCGAGCATATAGAATCAGGATTTTACAGGATGTGGGCAGCCGGCCCTGTGAAGGTGATGGATGCGTGCAAATCTGAGGGCTTGAAGCGAGTGTATTGTGGAGCTAGCGTACTCTGATAAGTGAAGTAGCCCGAACCAGGTAGCTCACCTGCTCCGCATCGCGGGGGGCCGCTCCAGTTTACAGATGTACATGCGGAGATATGTCGACGCTCGTGAGTGAATGGGGAATAGCTGATTTGTGCGAAGGTAATGTGTGGGTTATGATGGTGCTGTTACTTTATAAGTTCTAAGCTTGTAGAATGTGTTGCAAAAACCATCCTAATTGAGGTTTATTGGTTGGCGTATGTAGTGAGGGTTTGACGATGAAAGAGCGCTAAGATAATTTTGGGAATGTAGTATGGGCAGTGACAGATTCAAGGTTGATGGAGATAATTAAAACAACGAATATAACTGCAATTGTAAAAAGTAATAGCAAATATTTGTAAGTGAATCTCGATTGTTTGTGAATCCTCTTTATCGACACTAGGCAGAGTATGATGCTGAGGCAAAGTTCGGGACTGATCTGGTATCATCTTCCTTGAGTTTACTAATCAGATCAACCTGGAGTGATGGAACGTTTCAATTATGTGGATTTGTCGTAATCTCGTGGAATAGTCGTAAGCTCGTGCGCGCGCAGGCTCGCGCGCGCACTAAATTTTCTGTTAAAAAAATGACGACTATTAGGTTGCTACGTCCTTGAGTTGTATGGCGTTCGCGCGTTACGTTTAATGCGGGAAATTTGAAGGACGGATTTAACTGGTTTGAGTAACTGGATTTCATTGAAGTTGTGTTTGGTGGAGCAAGGCGGTAGGTTCGTTTTTTAGGGGTGATTAGTGGGAGTGTTCTAACCTGGTGGTGGTGGAGGAACTGCTAATACCGGATGAAGGGGTACCCTGGAGGCAGTGATTGGATCTCTACTGGTTTGGAGAGTGGGAGTCCTTTATTTAGGTTGTCTGATGAATATCTGTGTCAAGTCGTCAATCTGGAATAACTCGAGTTTTAGTAATTTATAAAGTGGGCTGTAACATTGCGTTCCAGCCCTGAGAGGGAAAATAAACTAGTAAGAAGATGTAATTATTGGAAAATTGATGCAGATTACATTTATTGACTGATCAGAACAAGGAATAATGTTATGTGGAGTCCAACTTGTAGTTATTCATCTCATGTGATGGTTTAGCGAAGATTTCTGGATCGGAGTAGTATGATGCGGAGCATCTCTATGTGCTGGATTAAATTACTCAGGTGACTAGGCACCTCATTAAGGAGAGGTTTAAGAATGGTCGTCACTAGCCAACTGAGTCTCTCTGTAGGTGAGTCCACGCAGCTGATGATGGGTCTAACCTTAACCTGCTCAAGAGGGATCGTCGAGCGGAAGCTCTCCGGAGGGTTCTTGTGGGTCTTGATTTGGACGTACATGACTGGGAGGCTGACATGGTCAGGAACTCTGATCCGTCGCTTGTAGTCGTCGTCAAGGTTCCGCTGTGATGAGATCTTCTTCCACAGGTTATTCGACTCCTTCACCAGGTTCTCCGTCTTCTTCTTGATGAGCTGTGTGAGCTGTTGAGAGGTGGGTTCCGCTACTGAGACAGTTTTACCGTTGATTTTTCTCGTGGGAAGCACACGCTGGTACACAGCTGTCTCCTGGAGGTGATTCTCTGTTAGATGCCGATGTGTGTCCTTAGTTGTCACCACAAACTCACCGCACTTGTCTGATACCGACACGTGTAACGTCCTGTTTGTCAGAAGGGAGCGTAAACCATCTTTCTGAAAACGAGTGAGGTTATCCTGTGGGTTGGTGTTAGTCACGAGGTCCTGTACAAAGCGGTTAAACTGTGCCAGTTTGTCCTCTAAAACCGGGTGAGTGGGGTCAGGTGTACTGGTGAATGGTGAAGGAAAGGGACACAATCTCCTCACTTTGCTGGAACTCGACTCCTCGGTGGGCTCAATCGGGGCACTAACTTCCGCACTAGTGTCTGAGTTGGCACGTTGAGTGATAGCGTGTTTGTGTCTGATCTTAAACACACACTGAGCGATATCAACGGCAACTTTATCCTTGAATGACTGGTCAATTCGCGGAGACACGGCGAAGTTAGGTCCGAGAGCTAAAACTGACTTCTGCTGCTCGGAGACACTGTCGATGTTGAGAGTAGTGACTCTATCGTCAGCAGGTTGAGTAGTGGATGGAGGAGGAGGAGGAGTAGGAGGGTAGTATTTCTCCAACAACCAAGAAAACTTCTTCTGTAAACGGTCCTTATAATGCTGCTTAACATAACGCTGGTGCACAGTGCGCCGAGGAGGCGATTTTCTGGAAAAAATCAAGTTTGTTCCACAACTCTTCATATTTTTCGTCAAAAACTACCTTACTAGACTAAAATTAAGCAAGGAATCGTTTAAAGCCATTTCCGAAATCATTGGATACAAGGGTTAAACACAAAACACGATTTTCTAAAATCAAAATTTTTCAAAATTTTCAAAATTTTTTTAAATGATTTTGAACACAAGGAAATATGTTTGACAATGTTATATATATGTACGTTCAACACTCAATCTGATGTTACGTAATGTGCTGTTCAATTGATGCCAGTGAAATGTATTTCATGATCTGTGCAGTATACTTTTACGAGTTGTTTTTACTTGTCACTTAGCTTTGAAATGTTTGAGTAAAATTTGAGTAAATTTTTATTGTTTGATTGCATTTCTGGGTTTGAACGTTGAACCTCTCAGTCTAGTTGATATACTAATGCAAATGGAAATCATAGTAATCATTGTGTCATCAATCACTGTAATTATTGAAATCATTGTATAGGAAGAAATGGAGTTTACTAACGGGGAAGTCTGGAAGTTACTGAAAAGTTTAGGATCACCTGTACCTGTAACTCAGCAACTTTTGGAAAGGTGCCCGACTCTGGGATCTTATGATGTAGTCCTGGGAAAAGTACGGAGAGCTATGGGTAAACGCCCACATAGAATTGAAAAGATCGTTCAGTGGGAGAAGCAAGTGTTATTTGAGGGTGCAGAATTGGAAGCAGAATTGGAAGCGGAATTGGAAGTTGAAGAAGCTGCTCCTGTGGAAGAAGCGGTATTTGAGGGAGAATCGGAACCACGTGCTCATGGAGGTTGTAGGAATAGAGCAGGCAGGAGCAAACTCCGATTATCTGATAAACCTGGAAAGAGGACTGCTCATAGTATTTTGCAACCTAAAATCGATGAGCTATTAGAATTCGCCACTGACCAAGGAGTGACGTACGAGGAGGTTATTGAACTACTCGAAGAAAAAAGTAGAAAGAAGAAAAAAGGGCCAGTATATGTTGCTGAGGTTCCTATCAATGAAGCGGTTGGGTTTTACTTCAACCAGGAACATAGTACTCGGTCTTGGACAGAACTGCGGTTGTTTTTAGGACAATATGGGCTGAAACTCCCCACTAGAAATGCCATAGACCGGAAAAAAAAAGAAATGCTTCCTCAAGGTATGAGGAACGAACAAATAAAGAGTGACGTCAACTTTGAATGTCTTGCTGCTGACACTGTCAAGGGTGAATAATATATAATACGTTTTAGATTTTGTTTTGTTTTGTTAAGGATCGATTTATTGAATTCAAACTTGAACAAAGTATCAAACTTTCGGTACTAAATTATCTGTAACTTAAGTACACTTCTTCAGGGTTACTAGAATCCACAGGCTACCAGGTTGAGATTGGAGAGAAACTGAATCTGACAGCCAAAGCAGGTATGGATGGGTCAGGCAGCCACAGAGCAAGACACCAGAGAGTGGATAGGGCGAAATCTCTAGAGGAGAATCCACACCTGGACCCGGATAGTTACAAGAACTATCTTCTTACCTGTTTCTGTCCACTCACCCTGACAGCAGTTAAGGATAATGGATTGGAGGTAAACATCTGGGTAAACCCCTCCCCAAACAGCATGTCCTACACCAGACCCCTCTCCCTCATAAGAGCAGCCGAGAGCAGAGAGGTGATAGAGAAGGAGTTTTCTGACACACTTTCAGAGATTAGTAAGCCCAAGGTTGAATAAACACTTAAAACATTTGCACATTTCTTTGTATAACCTGACTGATACGCAGTAAATTATTTTAGTTTTCAGTTTGTATTTTGCTCATTCACATAACAACAATAAATTTCATACCATTTCAGACAATAAACATCACGTCATCAACCCTACCCCCACCACACATCACATCCCTCACAGTTCACACAACTATGAGTATGATCGATGGCAAAATGGTCGACATACTTCAGGGGGATTCTGGAGCCCCATGTCATTTTTGTGACAATACTACTGCTGGAATTAACAACCTTATTAGTATCCTGGCAGGATTCAATATCACCAAAAGTTTTGAGAAGTGTATGGAAACTTGGGAGAAAGTGGTAGTAGGAGAAATCGTATGGAAGGATGAGGCGAGAGCAGGCCAGTGCCATGCACCCCTAGCTGATCTAAAAGTGTTTGCTGTGCTGCACTGGAGTTTACGGACTTTCGATTGGCTTCTTCAAATCCTGTATAGATTGGTAGCCGGGGTGAGACGCTGGGGTATATCTCACAAGCCATCCCAGCCATTTGTTAAAGCTGCCAAACAGCAAGTCATTGACTTTTTGAGGGAGAAGACGGGAATGTTGGTAGACACACCCACTTGCCAAGGAGGTAACACCAACACTGGACAGTTGGCTGAGCGGTTCATGGCCCCTGAACACCGGGAATTGATCTGCAGCCTCATAGACAATGCCACTGACAGGGAAAATTTCTCTCTCCTGCTAAGAGACATTAACATCATGCTCAGAATTACCCAGAGCACGAGAGTAGGAGTGGTCTCTACCAAACTGAAGCAACTAGGGATCGACATCATGAGCCATGTCAGATCTAAATTTTTGGATCACTTGGGGCAGCCGTGGATTAATGTGAACCCCTCGTTGCATGCGATGTGTGGGCACGCTTGGCAGCTGGTTGAGGTGCTTAGTGCACCTGTGGCTATGTACAGTGAACAAGCCCAGGAGCACTGGAATAAGTACCTCACCAAGTACAAGAGTGGGCCATGTGCACGGGCGAGGCAGCACGATGTTAGTGTCAACCTCACTGACATTTTTCAGCGGATGCTGTTAATGACCCATCCTCTCATAGCTTGCAAAAAGCGGAAAGTTGTCTGCAAGTTATGTAACAAGGAGGGCCATTCAGCATCATCTGTTAAATGGCATGGATATGGGCCTAACAAGTGGGAAGATGCACTATTAGAGAATTATTATTTACATTAATTCTATTACTTTTCACTTTGTTCTAAATATTTTATTATGGTTTGACTTTATTTTGTTTATTACCTTATACCTTAATCTTCGTACTTTATTAGTTCATCAAAACAACTATTCCTTGTTTTATTTAAAATGAATGTGGAATTTTAAGTGATAGAAATTCATGAAATTCATGAAAATTCGACGTTTTTGTCAAAATTTTGAAAATTTTTGTTCGTCGCGTGCCGCATGTCACTATTTCAGCATAAAAATAGCTTTAATTCGACTAAATTATTGCAAAATCATCAGATTTTTTATTCTGCCAGTGTTCAAATTAAGTTAAAAACTTTGTCTGAAGAGTTAAAGTAGAATTTAATGTAAATCATTGCACAGTGTACAATTATACAATTATACAAGCAACAATAGAATTTACCTGTATTTTGACAGTCAAAATTTTTGATCGAGGCTGGTACCAACATCGACCCAGATGATCAGCATGTCGCACCGGGGAGGCTTCAAAATTATGTTTTATGATTATGAAACCGTTTGGAAAGTCAAACAAACATCATGAGAGAGCCTCCCCATTGTGACATCATAGTCAATTTTGACCATTTGTGGGTGTGCCCTAGAAAAAAATACACCAAAAAATCGCAAAATCTCTCATTTTCATCACCAAAATTCAGTTTTTTCACAATTTTGTAATTTGGGAAGCTCAAAATAGCCTCAAAGCTGCCATAGAAGCTAATTTAAAGTGATATAAACGACAAATACATACATTTGTGGAAATAGAGTGGTTGAAAAGAATTTACCTGTATTTTGACAGTCAAAATTTTTGATCGAGGCTGGTACCAACATCGACCCAGATGATCAGCATGTCGCACCGGGGAGGCTTCAAAATTATGTTTTATGATTATGAAACCGTTTGGAAAGTCAAAAAAACATCATGAGAGAGCTCCCCCATTGCGACA